CCTCTCCCATCATAATATCCCTTCCATGCGTTACAGGCCTGTGTAACAGTGAGTTTAACAGCTCCTCTCGGTGCCCACTGTTTGGTTGTGACTGCACGAGAATCCTTTTGATGATGCTCCACGTACACTGCCCACCTTTTCAGAAACGCGCTGTGTGGAGGTTTACAACACGTTCGCCCACCGGCTTTGATCACTTTTTTTTTTTTTATTATTATTCTTGTATTTTTTTTATGCCGGGCGGTAAATGAAACGTTTCGCGTGTCACAGACAGTCACGACTTCTTCCCATCATCAGTGTAGTGGAGGCGAAGTAAGAGCGTGGAGCCGCGAGCAACAGATGACTGGCAAAACAAACGCGCCTCAACTGAATGGCGCTACAGCGGCTCGTGCTGCCCGAGACACACGTCTGGAAGAGAGGTGATACTGAGCTATTGTACAAATATATATGCTATATATATATATATTTCTATATCACAGCCACACTATGAGGGATTAAAAGCTTTGAGTGCAAAGTGTCCGCCGAGGGCAAACAAAGAGGAGAAAACGAGCCCGACTGTGTTACCTTGTTCGCAGCGGAGGAGGATTCAGACATTATCTCCCGTCAACTTCTCTCCTTCTCCTTCCACTTTTCCGTTGTGCTCTCCGCTTTATCTCCTTTTCTTTCCTACGGAGACCCACACAGCGGCTGCAGGAGGAGGAGGAGAAGAAGAAGCAGTCCGACTGCTCGGCGGCTTGTTGTTGTGGGAGAAGTTGTTTTTTTTCATGTAGCCCCGCTTTTCCCTCTTTATCTGCTGGCCGGGTCCATAGCGCGGCTGTCGGTGTGAAAACTTCTTTTGTCTGCGTGTGTTTTCCCTTCATATGTCGGCAGCGTGCTGGTTAATAATCCCTTCCTGGAAGAGCAAGACTAAAGACACACACTCTCTCTCTCTCTCTCTCTCTCTCTCTCTCTCTCTCTCTCTCTCTCTCTCTTTCGCTCTCTCTGTCTCTCTCTCTCTCTCTTTCGCTCTCTCTGTCTCTCTCTCTCTCTCTCTCTCTCTCTCTCTCTCTTTCTGTCTCTCTCTCTCTCTTTCGCTCTCTCTCTCTCTCTCTCTCTCTCTCTCTCTCATTGATCTGGATGTGTGTAAAACGGCGAAATGACGTGAATTCCCAGCATTGAGCCTTGCCCCCTTTTAAAGGGAAACCCGTAGCAGGAAATCGCAGCAGGTCGCGAGGCAGAGATACAACTGCAGGGCTGACAGACAGACAGACAGACAGACAGACAGACAGACTGGTTTTCTGTGTATTATTTGAATCAAGTGCGCTTATACAACCGGCTAAACCTCCATGCTTTAATGAGACCGCACGCAGTACAAAAACAGCAAAGGTGTGACTCCATAAAGGAGATATAATAGAAGATCAACCGGTTCTCAACAAGGGGTCTGGGGGCCCACAGGGGTCCTTGAGGGGGGGTTTCTAGGAAAACATTTTAATTTCACTATTATTTAATTGACTAAAAGTGAGCCCAATGCGAGAATGTATAAGAATTACTATTCTGTTTCTTGCTTTCTTTACTGTTAATCTGCTAATTCACAGTGTAGATCATGCCAACCACTAGGGGTCGCCAAAGCTTCACGAGGGGTAGCGTGGCCTTCTTGATTTTAAGAGTGTAAGAAAACGTATACCCATAAAATATAGGCCTTAGCATTTGGTTCATTTCTGAGAAGAAAAGTAAAGTAAAATGTTGTTTTGAAAGTTTAGATTATTATTTAAGTGAACTTTGAAGACTTGAACACAAGTTATATTCACAGAGCCTCCACTCTGATAAACAGCCTCGTCCTGCATTAGAAAAGTTCAAACAACCAAAGAGCCGATAAAACAATGACAATGAAACACTGAATTTGTGTGATTGTTAAAAATTATTTACAAAAATACCTAACACAGACAGACATTCATCCAAATCACTCGTTTTACTATTTGGGTTCATTGTACAGTTTTCAATATTATATGAAATGTACACAGAATATGTCACATAGTCAGGGGTCGTCCGTTTACTAAGGGATAGAAAATTTGTCCATCGGGGAAAAAAGTTGGGAACCACTGGTATAGATAGTTGGATGAAATAACAAAATCTTATCAGATATAGGTCCACACGTACTTTACACCAAAAAGGTTGAGAACCACTGTAGTATAAACTCTATATAAAACAAATTATCTCTTACTAATTAATACATATTTTATAATTTTTATAACATAAATAATTAAATATTGCTTTTTATATTACATTCAACAGAAAATGCAGTTTAGCAGCTACCAGAAGTGCAAAAAGCACGAAGTGCAGAGTACTGCACATGGGCATATGTATAGATAAACAGTAAGTGGTAGATATGAATATAGTTTAATAAGTTATATACAGTATCAGATGAACGGTGTGAAATAAAGGTAATGGCAATAGTGAGACAGCTTATACAGGCCTGTTAATAGCCTATTTTTCACTAACATAATGTCACAATGTATATGAAAAGGTCACTTTACAGTCAATCATTGACTTGCACTCAAGAGATATGGCCTGATACACAAACTCTACAACACAAAAAGCACATACTAAAAGAAAACTATATGAAGAAGGAAATGCATGTTAAATGTTGTAGAGCATTATACAGCGAAAGAGACCAAAACAGCTAAAAGAGGAGTGAATATTAGCTTTATATTAGTCAGGTATTTATGGGTGTTCCTGCAGCTATGGTCACTTTTTTTACTCTTTTATTTGAATCATTATTTTAATCTGAAATATGTTTATTTTGATGCACATAACTGGCAGCTAGCAAGGTCTGCTATGTAAGCTTTGACTTTCAGCATCTTATTTTTAAAATGTAGGCTAGTTCAAAATACACAATTACTAAGCGCTAAGGACACAGTTCATAGACAAGATGTGCTTACTCGTACTCTAACTTTAGTTTGTTTGGTTTTGAAACATTTAGGCATTTGTTCGGTGTAAGGACTCAGAAGTAAAGGACAGGCACATTTATATGAAAAATTATATAAATGATTAGTAAATTAAATAAAAATAAAAAATGTATATCAAATAATTGAATTAGCTCATTTTACTGTCAACATTGAGACCAGAGTTAAATGGACAAAAGTGATGTTTGGACCCATGAAATGCTTCATAAATGGGTTAAAATCACATTATTTACTAATTATTTTATGTTAAGATGTGTAATGACCCTGTATAGGCTATATTAATCAAGCATCACATGACAATTTTTAGCTGTAATCCAAACTTTAACTAGTTTGTTACAGAAACACCATTATAGGATTTATATTGGTCAACTTTATAAGGTGATAATGTCAGCGTTGTCTTTAGAGCTTGGTCTGCTGCCCCCTAGTGGCCAAATAACCTGCTTTAATTTCTGCACAATCAGTCATTTAAACAACTTGATTGTACAAGTTTCCTGTCATGGATGCACAGAGCAAAATAAACTAACCTAACCTTTGATGAGTGACAAATTAAAGGGAAAAAACAACATTAAATGTCTTCGTATGGTTTCAGGCCACCATGAGCCTCCAGAACAGCTCCAGTGCTCCTTGGCATGAAAACGTCTCTGAACGGAAGGTGATTACTATTCTTCCAAACAATATTCCCTCGTTTTTGATGATGGTGGAGGAGAAGGAATCTTCCAAATCTCCCACAGGTGTTTGACTTATAGGAGATCTGGTGACTGCATATGGTTTTCATCATTTGCCTACATATCAAAGCACACAGTGACTCCTTGTGCCCCGTTTGAAAGTATCTGACTTGATAACTTGGTATGCGCTGCAGATTAGTGGCGCATAAAATGCCAAACTCATACGTATTTAGCCATTGTGAGCCTGCCAGGTCAGATTTGACGGTGAATGCGGATTCAAAGTTCTGGTAGTAGCAGATGGCGTAAGAAGAAAAAGGCAAAGAAATCATGGAAAAATCCCTTCCAACGTGTACTGTATATTCTCTTCAGGGAGGGCGGGATGGGGGGGGGGACAGGAAGCAATGAGGCTGATGGGAAATGTGCTGCTAAGTTAACGAGCAAATTCAAATGAGTGAAGCTGATGATGAACGTTCATCCTGATGCTGCTGGGACCTGGTAAATGATTGGACTTGCATATTTTATGTTATTTCATTTCATTGTAGTTATTGTATGACTTACAGAATTTAATCACAATGGATGTCATTAAGGATTCATTTTACCATGACCTGCAGAGACCAGAAATGAGATTTTAAGGTGAAAACACATCTACAGAAGTTGATCTACAGATGAGGACAAATTCAAAAACCACAATAATTAAGTATTTGTCATATGTAAATGCACTTATATTTGGAAGGCAAGGAAGGTATTTCTATATACACACACTGAAGTATTCATATTCAGTTTATTGTATTTTTGAGCTGGAATTAGAATACAATATATTTTCTCACTTCTGTCTTTTATTGTAAGCATAAAACTATAAGAAATTATTGAATTTCAGTCTCTTTTGAAAAATTCAAGGAGCTGCAGGGGAGAGACGGGCAGGATATTAGCTGGTGGGACTGACAGATTACATTAATGGGATTACAGTAATCGGATTTAAAAAGTGGCTAATGTAATCTTACACACCTACTCTAAAAACACAGTAATCAGATTACAGACTTAGTTCCTGGTAGTCAGAAACATAAAATGCAGAGTATTCAGATTATTAAATCATTAAATCATTTTTTGCAGTGTCATTTCAGGTTTAATTTTATTTCTACCTTTTTATTGTTTTTATTTTTAGGAAATGTCTGGTCTTTGCATTTATTCATATTTAAATATTATTATTTATATATTCCCATGTGTCTTTACTGCTCAGGCTAGAGTTAAACTCTAAAGCAGGGAGAAATCTCCTCTGTCCTCATGAATCCAGGGGCTGTGTGAGGTCATATAACACGGGGACGCCCCCAAGCGGAGAACAGCGGCGTTACACCATTAACTCCTGCTAAAAATAGTTAAGTTTCGGTTTCCAATCATCATAAGCGATACCAAAGTTCCCTACTCCACTGAACCGAGCACAGTCAGCACAGCTGTCTCTGTGGTTCTTGGTGGGGGAAGGAAGCACAGGGCGGTACGATGATGGAGTCTGAAATACTGAAGTTCATCTGCGCCAACCAAGGAGCGGTTAACACCGAGTATTTGGTGTTCAATCTCGGCGCAGTGGAGGATATCACTTCTAACCGTGAGACATTTGCTTCGTGTTGCCCTTACGGACAGCCGAAGGTGGTGGCCAGGACCAGTCTGAGACTGTGCAGAGTCAAAGACTGCCCCGGAACATGCAGGGGACTACACCTGTGTAAACACTTCCTCTTCACCGGATCCTGTCAGTTCATCCAGTTCAGGTAAATATATCTGGCCTCAAGTGTTTAAGTGGTCTGAAACCGGCCCGGGTGCCTGAGGTTATTAGTGCAGGACGATAGAGAGGCCTGTGACTCCTTCAGGGACATCTCAAAAATAACTTTTATTGTTTAAATCTGATTTATCATCAGTTTTCAGGTGTGTTTTAAGCTGTGCAATGAACGCCGACACTGTCATGGGTTGGTTTTGGCGTTGCAGTGAACTTTAATGCGGTTGCATTTAATGTCTACCTATTTTAAAAGGCCTTGACACACGTGGTGCGTTCAAGCACTTTTGGCGAGGTCTGACACGTCCCTTGCAAGTGGACTTCCGGCTCTGTCATATAAACAAACCTAGCTAAAGGTTAGAATAAACATGGACATCATGTAGCTGTACAGGTTAATTTAACACCTTGGACAGCTGACATCGCTTAGACTGACTCAAAGTTAGAATAATGCTATTTAAAGGTTATGAGATGTTGAACATTAAGTTACAATACAACAGCAAACAACTATTTTCTACACAGAGATACAGGGGAGTGACGTCAATGGTGTCCTGAGTCACTCTGAGCTTCTCTAGTCTTTGTTTTTCACTTCAGGGCATGTCCAGCTGTTTGCTAGCTGTGTCCCAGACATTCAATTGAATCAAACCATCAAATTTTAGCTTTGTAAAGCATATTTTTCTTTATGTTTTAAGTAGCTAGTGTTAGCAGGATAGCAAGCTGACACGTTACATGGTTTTGTCACTCGACAGATTGAAGAAATGGCTCCCTACCAGTTTGAATATTACTAATGTTACTGAGAGCCTGTCCTCGCGAATACCCGGCCTCACCCAATACGATGTCCACTCCGTAAACACGGCGTCGTTTCCAGAAATATCTGCGTCCACACGGATTCACTGAAACGACCCAAAACGCTGTAGTACATATGCCGGGCCTGTATGTGGCGCTGTGACGCTGCCACACCAATACACTAAAACCGTAAAAGAAGCCATAAAGCGCTGTTTACAAACAAGTAGTAGTAGTCCGCCGTAGTTGTTGTTGTTATGACGCGTCTAGCGGCGGTGGCGGCTGAGGTTAAAGGCTAGAGAGGCGGGGCTAATACGTCATCGTTTCAGAAAAAATCAGTTTCGCTGTCCTGACGACTCCGGGTAATCTGGCGTTTTCGGATTTTCCCACTCTGGGACCCGTTTCCAAAAAATACCGTTATCACACCCCGTAAACACCGTATGCGTCTGGACGCGAGGCCGATACGATAAAGTATTTAAAGTTTATCCGGAATCGAGAAAAACGTGTTCGTGAGGACAGGCCCTGATATTACTCACTACAAATATACTGTAAAAATCTTATTAGTTGTCTTGTGTACTTCTCATCACTTGACATTGTTCAACAGCTAACTTTATTTGTGTGTTCAACACCTTTCTGAGAACAGGAAAGGAGGAGCTGTGGTCGACGAATCCACGACAATGAGATGCTAGTGCTCGAGTGCTACATCTAGTGCGTGTGAATGTCTTATAGCACCTTTAAAGAATAGTTTGACATTTGGGGAAAATGGCTTATTCGCTTGTGGCAGAGCATTAGATGAGAAGTTTGATCCCACTCTGTTATTTGTTAGCTAAATGTGACGTTAGCTTAGCATTTAGCTTAGCTCACAGACTGGAAATGGTGACACAACTAGCTTAAAGAAAACTGCTGTGCTATGTCTTCAGGGCTCGACGTTAACTTTGGTCGTCTGTGTTTCGCAACTGTCCTAAATTCTACTTTCAGCGTTCCCAGATTAAACAACCTCTGTCAAATTGATTTTCTTTTTTTTCACCTATTCTTCATAATAAGTATAGTTTAATATCTAACTAATAAATAATTTGTTTCAGTAACTCACTCAGTCACTTCACTTCTCTCACTCTGGTCCACCGTGGAAGTTCTGCTAATTGTTCCCTGCACTTGAATAAGAAAATTAAATCCCCAGTTTTACTAGATTTACAGTTACTGTTTCTTGTTTATTTCTAACTAATTGATCAATAAATGCATCACTGCAAACTATAACACAAATGCAAACCTGTTTCTGATAAGTACAGAGAGATGGCAATTTACAACATTAATATTATTTAGCCAAATACTCACAAAAATTACTACAAGGGCATCTTATATTTGAAGTAAAAAATATTAATTAAAGAAATCAATAACGAGAAGGTGAAGATCAAACAAACTCTTTAAGTATGTACAAGCTCAAATGAACTATTTACATATAAGATATGGGAATACCCTAATCCAGATATCTGAAGCAACAGCAAACTATTTGCATATAGGAACACCTTAATCCAGACTATATACATATTAACAAACTATTGAAAGACCCTAATCCAGAGACCTGGAGAGAGAGTAGAGAGAAAGTCAAACGTGCCCTACTGCCACACCTTACTGACTGCCTGTGCACGGCACAAGAGGAGAGGGAGACACCCTGGTGCTGTTGGCAGGAGAGTGATCGACTATGATGGCTCTGAGCAGCCTGCATGGGAATGAATTACAATAAAATATATTGCAATATATTTCTCGCCTTATCCCTGATGGTTTGAATGAGTCGCTAAATTTCTTGCTTTTTAGAAGTAAAGCAGAAAACGGGGCCTGAAATGTCGCTAAAACTAGTGAGAAAGTTGCCATATTAGCAACACTGGTCTCTCTCTATGATTGATTTTGTGCGTGTGAGCACCGATGTGATGAGTTCATGCCAGTGCCACTACACATTTTCACACATTGTAAACAAAAGCATTACAACCTTTTTATGTTACTCAGTTTGCCTTCCAGCCTGAAAACTTGAAATGCTTGTTTCTCAACTTTATTGCTTCTGTTGTGACTGCTCTCTGCCTTTTATAGGGCAGTGTAGGCTCCTGTGTTCAGTCTTTATGCTGAGCTAAGCCAACTGGCTGCTGGTACTAGCTACCTGTTTACCATACAAACAAGTGAGTGGTGTCAAACTTCTCATAAGTTTCAGCAAGAAAGAAAATAAGCATATTTCCCAAAATGTCGACTGATTCCTGAAGGTTTGACAAAATTTGTCTTTACATAGAGGTCGAATAACCGAATATAAACTTTATTCTACAGTAGTCAGGCAGTGAAAGCAAGTCAGATATATTGTTGGCTGTGTTTATAAGTTCTGATGCAATGGTGAGTAGGTGCAGTAGCTCTGTCAGCATGTCACTGTAGATAAGTGTTGTATAAGTCAAGCATAAAGCACGTTTATAACTCATATTTGTTTAAATATGCTGCAGTGTAGTTGGCTTTATGCATGTCTTATCATTTTTTACCTTTTTAACATAGCAACACATCACATGATGTTACAAAACATCACGCCGGAAATTTCCTGCGCAACCGTGTATATAAAAATCCAACTTGTGACTGAACAATGTGTGATGTGTTCTTTGACAACAGGAGAGGATGCAACTTCTCCCATGAGCTGGACTCTGGACACAATCAGAGGATACTGGTAGAGCATGGGCTGCACAGCCTGAGCAGGGCGGAGCTGTGCACACTGCTGCTGCAGAGCGACGACAGGCTCCTCCCACCTGTAAGTCTCACAGAGTCGATCAGAATAAAATGGTGTCAATATCACAACAGCAACTTCCTGTCCGCCCTTTTTGCTTGTTTGCTATGCTTGATTGTCACCACCTTTTCTCCCGACACCAGATATGTTACGATTACAACAATGGTGACGGGCTGTTCGGCCGTTGTCAGGAAGGTTATGGTTGCAAGAGAATGCACATCTGTGAGAGGTTCCTGAACCGTGACTGCAGCTGCATCAGGATTCATGACTTTAATGCTCCACAGCCATTAAAAAGTCTGCGGGATAAAGGCGTGCCTGACGAACTCATTCCCTCCATGAAATCAGTTTATGCAAATATACTGGCTTTGAAGTACTTTGACAGGGGCGATAGAGGCAACCATCAACAGAGAGGTGGTTACAGGGGCAACAGAGGCAACCTGCAACCGAGAGGTGGTTACAGGGGCAACAGAGGCAACAGGGGAATCAGGGGCAACAGAGGAAACAGAGGAAATCGGGGCAACAGAGGAAACCAGGGCAACTTTAGTCGCAGCAGTTCCACCAGTGACATCCTTGCTGCTATCGATGCCTTAGATCTGTACACTGAAGATGGACTTGGTGAAGACAACCATGATCAACAAAACTCCTCCACCAGCGACATCTCTGCCGCTGCCAACGACACTGATGCGAGCAGCGACGATGGTCAGAAAAGAAAGCGAACACGAAATCGAAATAGAGGGAGAGGTGGCAACCACGGCAACAGGGGTAACCAGGGACTGCCACAACGAACCCGTTCCACAGACGACACCCCTGCTGCTGGCAGCGACAATGCAAACGCAGACAGTTGGCCTTTAAGAAGAGAAAGGCCCGTCAGAGGTAAACTACGCCAGCTGCAATAACTTTCATCAAGACGATTTTCTGAAAGAACTGCGTGAAATGTAAAAGAAACGAAACGCTTTATACTGTACTTTGTGTTTGTTTCAGATAAAACTGAGATCTGCATGTACTTCATCAAAGGCCACTGTAAACATGAGGGTGAGTAGCAATAGTAACAGCAATAATTACACTTACTTTGGTCATCAGTTCGGTGACACTAAACCTGTTTTATGACCGATATGTCCTCAGACCGTTGTTTTAAAGCTCACAACAAGATGCCGTACAGATGGGAGGTCAGAGAGAACGATCAGTGGACCGCCATGCCTAATAATGAGATGATTGAGAAGGACTACTGTGACCCTAACAACACATACAGGTACTCTCTACTGACACTGAATGGGATTGTAGTCCTGGGAGAATGTTTTCACAGTGTATTCTTTAAGAACCAATTTCTAATCTTAGGCCTACAGTAAACCCAATCCTCCAGTTTTCTTTGCCAGTTGCTAAGGGGAAAATGCATTTAAAAAAATGGTGTTAATAGTAACTATGAAGCCACATCCAGCAGCTCGTTAGCATAGCTTAGCATAAAAACAGGAAACGTGTAAGCAGCTAGCTTGGCTCTGTCCTGCATTTTCTTGAGATAAAAAAATTCTAATAAAGTCCAATAAAATTAATATTAAGAACCTCTTCTGTACCATCTTCACTTCCATAAAACTACTTTGTTGGGTGGGACAGAAAGCAGAAAGGGATCATTTGCAAATCAATGACATATTTGTTCTAGATAGATATTTTTCACTTTAGTAATGGGGTGGGAATGTTTAATTTTTAAAAAAAAATAAGATTTATTTTTCATTGGTCTGATGTTTCAGCAAAGTAGTGTAAAACAATAGATTGAAATGAACTGAATTGTGTGAATGAATTACTCCTTTTGCCGTCTTTAGTAGCAGCAGCAGCCCATCTGTGCATTTTGACACGATGACCTGTGGCCCCAACAAAGTGCGACGACTCTCTACCATTAACTCTTTGCGTGAGCCAACCTTCATCCATACCACCGAGTGGGTCTGGTACTGGGAGGATGAGTTCGGAAAGTGGAACATGTATGCTTCAGCTGTGAGTAATGAGTCATTTTTAATCAGATTCAGTGGCGATCATGCAGTGGCGAAATGGCATCCATTCACAAAATATAAGCAATTTCCTGTATTGTGTTAAAGCTGTTCTAATTTATATGTTTTTATAGAAACAATGGATCTGATGGTCACTCGTAATGATGAACCCATGGAGAATTATTGCTGTTGTCCTCAACTCCACAAAACCTTTTTAGTGTTTTTCAGCTTGTTGTTTTGGTTTTATAGCCTCCTTTAACTTTACTGTTTTGTATCACAGCTCTCATCATCGTTCCTTCCAGACAAAGTAGGCAGCCTTTTTTCAGCTAAAAACTACCTATACGCTACCTGCTCAGCACCAAACAGCATACACACAAAGCTGGCTGCTAGCTAGCTAGTGGAGCTTTTTAACGGCTAAAGATTAAAGTCAATAGAGTAAATAATAGTTGCATTCATCAGACACAAACACAACACTAACTCCGTGACCTTTGTTGTGTAATGTGAATATTCTGAAATGAGGATGTCCCAGTATTCCCAATCTGCTACACTGATATTGTAACTGATCATGGCATATGTTACCAGACCATTTTAAGGCTGATCAAAGTCTAAAGTCATTACTCTAATAACGCTGCATCATAAAAACCTTGTAAATCTGAACATTGAAACAGTTCCTTGTGAGTGGGCCAACAGTGGAGCAATATGAAAAAACAGCAGCAGCAGCCAGCAGTTTCATTGAAGATATCTACACTGACAACATGCCTCGGCAAGCGAAGCAAGTGTAGCTGATTTGGGCTAAAAATGGCAACTTTACCTCTATTTCAGTGACATTTTGTAGGCGTACCAAAATCCTAAATGCTGCTGTAGTGACAACAACTCGCTGCAGCAAACTCACTCCAATAAATCTCGTTCCTGATGAGAAAGAAGCGAGGCTGTCCGAGCTTTGCTCTGAAGTGGAATTTATAATGTAATGTTGGCCTTATGATGCAATACTCAGCTATCTGAGCTGCACTGGATGTGGTCCATGTGGACTTTAACAGTGGTTGGGAAAATGAGCGGTCTCGGATTCTGCCTTTTAATGGGACAGAAATTTAAAAACTCCAATCATAACAGAACTGAACTTCCAACTTCATCTCTCCCACTCATGGTCTACTAAACCTGCGCTGAACTGACAACTACACGTGTTTTCATAACCCTGCAACTCTTTATATTCTGTTTTATCTGTTTCATGTTTATAGTAAACATGTCTTTGCTCCCTGCTGTATTCTCTTGCTTAAGCTGCTCATTACTAAGTTTTAATCTTATCTTTTACGCCTCTACATCCACGCAAAAGAATCAAAAGAGGCAGAGATGCTTCCACACTTCCAGAGTTGTGTGCACAGGCTGTGTGGCAGATTAGCAGCAGTGGAGATTGTAGTCAGATTGCATAAATTTGAATTTGTCATGCTCATATTGGACTGACGAATTAAGAAATGAAGTTTTAAAAGCATCTGGTGGAGCTCCATCAATCCTCCAACTTTCAAAGCTGAGCATTTCTTATCAGTTTGTCTTTTGTCCCCCAGGTTTACACTTCCTGAAACAAACAGTTACAGAATTCAGAGTTCTAAAGAAACATAAGAACACAGCATGAAAAAAAGTAAATAATTGTCTGGTCAAAATTGAGGATAGGCTGTCCACCAAAGTCAGACCAAAGGAATAACATTTATTTACAACAAGACAAAGCAAGAGCAACACAAACAAAGGCTGGGATCTTGTGTCAGGGAGTTGAGAGAGTGAGGGTGGAGGAAGGATCCACTTATATAGGCCGCACCCACAACTTCACGCAGGTGTCGCCAATCATCACTCAGGAAACTGCACCTTCAACACAGAGACATAACAGACACACATGCAAAGCGATAGCAGAAGTACAATTACACGTAACACCGTTAAAATAAAGAGTTGGAAACCAAGATCTCAAAAGTGTATTGTGAAAGTGTGGCTTAAAAAAGTCAATCAATGACGCATGCACAAAGGGGATCTGACCCTGTAAAAAATGTGAACATTGTTAGAATCATTTGGGATAATTTAAGTACACAATAGTATAGTATAGTGTTTTTAGACATTTTAATGTTACATATTATACCTTTAAAGTATAATTGAATCCTCATTAACCTCTAATCTCATTTGTTTAATTTGTATAGAAGTCTAAAAGAGTCATGTTGTGGTTTTATGGGGCAACTGTTACTTGACTCTGATGGCTTCCTGGTCGGTGGATTTGGTTTCCATCAGACATCTGGACAGCTGTTTCCCCGTGTCCACTCTTTATGCTAAGCTAAGCAAACTATATTCTAATAGTATATATAAATATAATTTGATATGTTTACAGTTATTGTAGGCAGTAATCTCTTTGTATACCATACTAACTGGCTCCTGATTGGCCATCTACCATTTCAGATATGCTTTGAGGTAAAAACAGATCTGTGTTGTGTGGCAGGATGGTGGACACAAAGCAGCAGACATGGACAGCCCTAAACTGGAGCAGAGGTTTCTGGACAACGACAAAGATGTGGTGGAGTTCACCGCCGGTTCACAGTCATACTCACTCAGTTTCCAGGGTAAAAAGATTATGCAATTGAGCTCGGTTTTTACAGTTTACAGATTCTTAAAGCAGTATTATAATGTCTTTTTTATCTCCTCAGACATGATACAAACAAACAAGCGGTACAACACTAAGAGGGTTGTCAGAAGACGGCCCCGGTTTGCCTCTACGGCTGATGTTCAAGCAAGGAGAGTGAGGTACAACGTCCCAAATACACTATGTTAAGCCACCTTTTAAAAAAACATTGCATTCAGGTCACGTCACAAGAAAACTAATCCGGCTTTGCTTCCTGACCACAGAAGGCCTCTCGGTCAAGCACATTTCGCCCCTATACCAGACAACTGGGACAAGACACAGGTTCCTCAAAGGGGATACAAGGTATTGTGAATACTTTGAAGCTGACATTCATGGCCAAGCATAGATATTAAGTGAAATTGGTTGGAAGTAGTCAAGTCTTCCGGGCCAAAAAAATTCAATAGTGTTTTTTTGCAGTAAAGAAATGTAAAGTTTCCAACATTAACATGAAAATAGGACATGCAGACATTTCAATTTATAATTGTCCAAGTTCCATACTGTATAATGTTATCATTATGTATACAGCATAAATTAATGTTGACACTTTGCTGATGTGGCAGTCAGATAAAACCACAGCCAGTCTCTTTACCAAAGGACAGTAAAAATGTGTTCTAAAGGTGCTGATGTCAGTAGCTCCTTCATTTTAGTTCTGCATTGTATTTTCATTATTATTGCAATAACCGGCTTTATTCTGAAGTTGAGAAACCTGACTGCCGGGGAAGAAGGAAAAACACTGTGTTGTTGCTGTGAACGGACCAACAACATCCACGCTGCAGACAAAAGAGTTTACAGCCGCAGTTCTGACTTGCAGCTATAATTAAAACAAAACATGCACTTGATAAAACTGAGGCAGCTCCCCCTTGTGGAGAACATGCAGCCTGTGAGATTGTGAGGAACAAAGCGTTACTGTTACGGTGGCTTGGCTTCTCTCTCACTGCTCTCATAGGGCTCTATCTTGCACTCAGCGCAATTGACTTTGTACACTGGCGCTTGTATAATTCCTATTTTGCACTCAACGCACATTGGAATTTTCCCTCCACCGATGCACGTCGTTAAATTAGGGAATGAACTAGCGCTCCGGGGGGCGGTTCAGCGAAAAGAGGAGGCGTGTTCCGGCGCAAACATTCCCTGGTGCTATTTTGCTGTTTCAGAAAACGATTCCGCCACAGACCAGGAAAAACCTAGCCTAAAGTCAGTGGCGCTTATTCAGATGCTATTTTAAGGGCGCAGACTCGAGGGGATGTGCCTGAGAGGCAGCAGCAACATCACCACCCAGTCAAGATGGGCATTAACACTTTGCCGCATCCCGGACAGCTCCCGCTCCAGCATGTCAAACCCAGCTTGCTGCAGGAATGGGTGGTCCTCCGGCGTGTAGTGGGTCTGGACCCTCTGCACCTTGGTGTTTGCGCTGCTCCCTCCTCAGCTGGCCCTTGCGCACTGCTCGGCCCGTGCGCACTGCTCCCGAGGCCAGGGTCTTCTTCCTGCGAAGCTGCGTTACATTGTTTTGATTTATTGTTTGGCTGTGTTACATTTATGTCAATAATGTCCCTTCTCGGTATTTTACTGACGAGAACGTCGGTCTCCTCGGCTGTGAACCGCTCCTGGCGTGCGCCTGGCAAATCCGCCGTTATTATAGCAATCTGCCATGGAACAAGCGCCCCTGCTTTTAAAGGGAATGTGAGATGATGCTCTGATTGGTTTATTGCACATTACGCCCAAACCACAACTATGACTAATGTAGCTACTTCAGACCAACCCATTTTAGATTTGCGCCGGGCACAAGAGTCATTTATCCGCTGGCATAATAGCAACAGCGCCCGAGATCCGCCCACAAAGCTACTTGCGTTTTGCGTTTGATACTTGCATTTCAGATCGGCAAGATAGGGCCCATAATGTTTAAGCCCAAAGCAGGAAGCTCATTTAAGCAAAAAAAAAGCTCTAAAAATGAGTGTAAAGACAGAGCAAAGATTTAATGTTAGACTAACATTCAACACATGGCAAGAATCACAACAATCCAAGTGAATGATAATGCTGCTGCTTAACTGTTAGGTGCGTGAATACCCACATTAAAGGTGATTATATGTCAATGGTGTGTACACAACTTATTTGTGCTGCCCCCTAGTGGCACAAAAATCAACTTTTGCAGGTAATTGTGCCTAAAAGAGAGAATTTACATTTTTGCTTTGGAAAAATAATTTCTGTAATTGCTTCGTGTTTTCCAGCGAGTCCCCCTCCCACGCTTCTCCGAGGAATATAAGGAGATCGAAGCTCTGTTCTGTACAACCATGAGAGGCTTCGACATCGTCAAAATGGAGAGGATTCAGAACAAAGCTCTTTGGGATGCCTTTCAGTTGTACGTTGGTGATTTTTACATGTTTGGTCTCTAAACTTACCAGTCATACCTCCGTGTGTGTGTGTGTGTGTGTTGTGTGTGTGTGTGTGTGTGTGTGTGTGTGTGTGTGTGTTTTAATATCTCCTTAGCTAGGTTCTTATTGCATCTGCTCTTAAAACCAGCACTGTCTGGTTGTTAAAGCGAGGCTGTTTAACTATTTAAAAAAAGAATATACTTCCTCCTAAGAATAAAAAGCTGGCAGGTTTGGCTGCTACAGTAAGTAGCTAATAGCAGCGAATCATAGTTAATGTATATGTAGATGTTGCTGTGTAACATTACTGAGCTCAGTTTACTGACTTTGTTAGCACCCATTCCTAAATGTCTTGCCCTGATGAAGTTTTCTGATTCTTCTTCCAAAATATAGGCAGAAAACTCACATGCAGAACAACAACGGTGGACAAAACGTGACAGAAAAAAAGCTTTTTCATGGCACTGACTCTCAATATGTGGACACTATCTGCCACACTAACTTTGACTGGAGACTCTGTGGAACTCATGGAACTGCTTATGGCAAAGGTAAGTTGAGGAAATGTTCATTCTGGGCTAAACAGAAAATTGGAAATCTTAAAAAAACAAACGTAACACTCAAGGTACACTTCAACTCTTGAATTTCCCTCGGGATAAATAAAGTATCTGTCTATCTATCTATCTATCTATCTATCTATCTATCTATCTATCTAGAAACCTACTTTTATCCTTATCCCATGTTTGAGCTGTCCATCAGTTTTGCTTTAGAGTGATTTACTGTGTTTTTGAAGCATTGTAGCTCCTCCCAAGACAATGGATCTCAATTTGCTATGTGGTGTTAAAAATGCCCAAAAATTGCACTTTTAAAAACAATGAATCAATCGACAGAAAATTAAGCTGCAACTGTTAATCGATCAATTGTAAGTCTTTTATCAAGCAAAAATGCCAAAACATTTGCTTTGCTGTTTTTGTGTAATAATAAATGTAATATATTTGGGTTTAGACTCTTGGTCGAACACTTTTGCCATTGAGAAAATGATGCATTTATAGACCAAAGAAATAATTGTGTATTTAAGAAAATATTTTTCAGATCAATCAATAATGCAATAATCGTTAGTTGCAGCCCTTACTATCTTTGCACATACACTGTAATGCCATTGCAACAAGCCAAAAATGTACAATCTCTCCCTGTGTCGAACCCAGGTAGTTATTTTGCCCGGGATGCCAAATACTCCCACAGCTACACCGATAACTCTGATGTCAAATCCATGTTCGTCTCACGGCTGCTGGTGGGAGACTACACCAAAGGGTCCTCCAGCTACCTCCGGCCTCCTTCCAAGGACGGCGGGGACATAAACTTCTTTGACAGCTGCGTAGACGACGTTATAAACCCTTCCATCTACGTTGTGTTTGAGAAGCATCAGATCTACCCGGAGTACCTGCTGCAGTACAAGACCATGCACCCGCTCGTTGACTTATATGGTGGTGCGTCCGCGCCAGCGCCAAAACCAGTGCCTGCGCCGAGACCTGCTCCCCAGCCTACTATATTACCAGTTGCTCCACCCAATAGAGCCTCATACAACCCCAGTACACCAGTTTCTCCACCCAGTAGAGCCTCATACAAGCCCAGTACACTAGTTTCTCCACCCAGTAGAGCCTCATACACCCCCAGTACACCAGTTTCCCAATCCAGCACATCCTCATATCAACCCAGCACATCCTCATACCAACCCAGGACATTATCTTATCAGTCCAGCACAGCCTCTTACCAGTACCGAACCACGCCTGCTTCTTCACCTTCCTCACCAAAGACACCAAAGAAATCTTCTGATTCTTGTGTCATTGCTTAGGGACAAAGGCAAAGTGAGGGCAGGAGTTCAGTGTGTGCTTTTGGGATGAATACTGACATTTGCAGGAGCTGAATGGAGCTTTTGGCAAATATATTTGGGTGAATTTGGTGATTAATGAATATATATATTTAACGTGTGCATTGAGTGGTAGAGTGGCTTTTATGCAGCACGTGACATTCATACCTATTTAAAGATCTTTATATCCTAACCCTAACCTTAGCTTCCAAGTTCACAGGAGCTAAGTTTTCAAGATTCAAGATTCAAGAAGCTTTATTTATCCAGAGGGAAATTACTGTGCAACAGTTTCAATACAAAGGAGGTAAAGTAAAGTACTACAGGGTTAGAGTAAAAATAAGCTAAAATTAAATTAAATTAAATTAAATTAAATTAAAATAAAGGCTAACATAAAATAAATCAAACAATTAACTAAATGCAACAAAATGTAAGCGCTTACAGGTAACATAAGTAGAAAGGAAGAAACAAGTAACTAAATGTGACAAAGTGCAACAATAATTGCAGTTAAACGTAGGTATATACAATATACAACAATACACACTGTGCAGTTTTCGTTAGATAAGTAGTTGGTGGCGCTAATTATCCAGTCGGATGCTGGTAAACCACTGCAGAGGAAGAGGGCGTAATTAAAAGCACTAATCAAACAACAAATGAACATTAACCACGTGGGAAAAAATGAGAAGTTTGACATTTTTGTCTGTTTCATGTATTAATTTGAGGAAGTCTTCTCATTGTTTCACTGGTGTGACGTTAATGTCTGCTGCTATTGTTAGTGTCTCCAGTGGAGCCGAAGCTTCAGTTAATCGCATGCTTCATGTGTGTTATGGTTTATTCACTTTATGTGTTTCCATTTTGCACCAACTTAATACCCCACTAAGCAACTTTTTTTTTTTTTTTTATTTCTGGCGGTTCCCCACAGGTTTTTATGCTCAAATGGAGAACCTTTAAAAAAACAAAATGCACTTATTGAGTATGATGTATTCAGTGTCATATTTAGTCATTATTGCATTAAGAGATTCCGCTGCATAGCTCCCTAACCAGTAGAGGGCGGCAAACTCCTATGTCAACATTTAAAAAATTGCAGTAAAATGAATAGCTTTTTTAACTAAATGTAAATGAGTTTTGTTGTTTTTTTTCTTACAATGTTTAGGGTGTACATTATTGATTATTTCAAGCACCACTTGCAGATTTTGTGTAACAAATTCCACTGCAACTAAAACTATTGCTGGTCTCCAAATTGTTGTATAACACGTGTATAACACTTGATTTTTTTGCTTTAATAATAAATGTAACATACATGTTAACGGCACACAGAAACACTGTTTTATTTTCCAGCCTTCTTAGTTTCTGTTGGCGCTGCAATTCTCTCCCTCTGTTTCATAAGTGAATTGAAAACGCCACCAGCGATCGGGTCGGGCCTCTTAGTGAAATGAGGCAGGGCATGAAAAATGATCAATATGGCTGCCGGTGCTTCCTGTGACATTAGACATTAGGCCTGCAAATCACCCCCTGCCTCCCATCAACTTACACACACATATTCATACACTAGAAACCGCCTCCTGTTGTGTTTCCTGACAAACTGCAGTTTGAATGTGAATATGTTCATGAGATTTGTGCAATATCTGCATTGATTTATACTACGCTTGCTTTATGCAGTGATTACTCTATGAATATGAAGACATTCATTTGTTTTAAACCTTAAGGCATTTCTCCATTCCACGCTGAGTTTTACAAGATGCAGGCATTTTGCCAAATTACAAGACCACGAAACCCTGCTCCACATGTACTCATCAGTACAAATTGTAAACAATACTGACAAAAAGTCACTGAAATGAACTGCTATGGTTTGGACCAAAGATGAATAGCGTTAAAGCTGCACTAATCAATGCTTTTATATGAACAATGAATCAAACTGTGTGTACTGTGTGGTTTTACTCGTAGTGATGAATCCACAGAGAATAATCCCTGATTCTGCTGTTCCCCTCCGCTCTACGGAGCATTGTAGGGTCTTTCAGCTTGTAGTTTTGGTTTTGCTGCCATCTATGTTTTTTAAAATATATACATATACACATAAATCTTGTGCAGACATCATGAAATCTCTTTTGGAGCTCTGTATGTTATATTAAACCATGTTTACTGTGTGCTGTAGTACCCTACCTCCTCAGCACCACACGGCAGACAGCGTCAGCGACTAGCAGAAACAATTCACGCTGTTTTAAGGAGCATTGTGAAATTATTTCTGTTTATTCTGACATTTAAATGTCCACCCTTTACACTGCAGGAGCATCGATGACCACAGCTAGTGACTCTTACAGAAATTGTACCTATGCAGAAATCAGTTAAATGAAGTGAGCAAACAATCAGGAACCTTCTATACATTTACCAGACCTCTAAGATGATCAGTTCCATAAGGGTTCTGTATAGGAACCTCATAGGCTACCATAGTTTCTGGTTGGACTGTGTGGGTGTGTGGGATATGTGCTGGAATAATAGAAACATCATTAAAACCGGAGTCCAGCTGGTTTAATATGTTCTTAATTTTTGCAACCCTGTGTCATTTCAAAATAAAATACTGCTATTTGAGCTTTGCACAGTATGTTTTAATGATAGCCAAACTAATATGAGAGGATTCACAAGCACTGAGAAATATTTGGGGTTGGAGGACTGAAAGATTTTTCCCAAGGGCCCCCCGCTGTATATGTCTAAGTATAAGAGCACTAATCGAGAACATTTATTCCCCTTTGGTTCAAAACATACAGCCTGTTTTCTTCACAGAGCAGACAAACCGCTCTGGCGCTACAGTAAATTACGAAGAGAGAATTCCCAGGGAGAAAATGGATTTGGCTGTCACTACCACTGCATCCATGTCTCCGCCCTCGTGCTTCATTATGCGTTAGCTGCCCATTAAGATGGAGCTGTCCTATGGGAAATGCAGCTGTGCCCTGCAGGATGCAACAGCCCACCCAGTGACAGTAAATATCCACTGACATTAACCAGCTTAAGCAGCTACTTCCTGTCTGATGCGGGCCTGTGGAGGCTGCTGCGCCTTGCCCTGGCTGTCGTTTCCTGGTAGTCAGAGCAAGATCCTCCAGAGCCGGCTGCGTGGAGCTTCCAGGCCCTAGAATATCGGAAAATCTGGTTTTCCTGCATCGCAAGAGCTTATGAATTAAATATGACTCCTTTCCCTTTGTTTGAGCGCACCCCTCGTGGTGTTTGTGGTGTTTATGTTTTTGCTGAGTCATGGTGGGTTTTGTTCCAGCCGATGGAAGAATGCTATAGTGGCAAAACCCCAGGGTGAGTGGAAATGAGTCAGGTCTTTATGTGGCTGATAGCAGGAAAAGTTTTTGTTGAGTTTCTGAAGTGTGGTCAGCAAATCTACTGCATGTGCCGCCCCAGTAGATCAATAACGCACCTGTTGATCCGCAGTAATTGAAGTGAGGTGAATGGTAACAGCCGGGTGTTTTGTAAATCTGTCTCCCTTGAACGCTGCTCGTGACTACATTTGTATTCTAAATGTGCGTCATGCAGCACGTCAATCTCAGTCTAATTTTACATTGGGCCACAGGAGGGAAATGTGCTGGATTGTTTTATGGTACAAAACAGGTGGTTGTTCTACCAGGAAACACAGCCAAAGCTTTAAGAGCTGAAAACTTCTATTTTGTTAGACCTATGATTACTTACGTGTGTGTGTGTGTGTGTGTGTGTGTGTGTGTGTGTGTGTGTGTGTGTGTGTGTGTGTGTGTGTGTGTGTGTGTGTGTGTGTGTGTGTGTGTGTGTGTGTTAGAGATGTGAGGGTCAATGCTTTTTTTCTTGTTTCTTTTTAGCCTAGCCAGGAATTCACCTGACCAGATGGATTGTTACACCATCTGGGAAGTCATCTTGGGGAACTGTTTGGAAAAGGGCAGGATGTTGGCAGGTTGTTGGATTACGGTCACCAGGCCCTCCCGGTTTGTCTGGGATTGTCCCAATTCCAAGCTGGGTGTCTCGAGTCCCAACAAATATCTGAAATATCTCAGTTTTTATCACAATTAAAACAGATTAATATAATCGTTGTTTTCAGCGCTTACATAGACATTTATCATGTTTTGTCTCACTAAATGACCCAATATAAAAACATAAACAATGCATCTGTATCCACACTGTCTGTGTCAGTGAGTCATAGCCAGTAATGGGTTGGTTGTTATGTTTAATAGAAAGTCAGTCTTTTTCTAAAGAGCTCCAGGAGACTCCTTCATAAAGTACCCGGCAACAAACGTGTGGCGTTGCTCGGTAGGTGTGCTAAACACTGACATAATGGTCCCCCGTGTTGATGGAAACGTATATGTGGTAGGCTCCACTTGAGGGTCCCAGTTTGGAGGTTTAAAAAATATTGTCAACCTAGATTGGATGAACCATCTGTCTATCACTATCACAGGCTAACTGTAACCAATCAGATCAACCAATCAGTAAGCCAGTTGAGAAGAGAGCGAAAAAAAATGTTCCATCAAGAAAAGCCGTCAGTGCCTTTGCTCTTCTTTCAGTGAAGAAACTGTACAGTTCAGATACAACTGACACTACAGCAGCATCTACACTAACAGGAGCCACCATTGTTGTTTTTGACGCCTCTTTCTGCGTCACATTGATCTTGCAAATCCAGCTGCCTCATATTGTAAGTCTGAAATGTCAGTGTCGGTCAGTTGGTCCACCGCTTTGGCCCAGACTGAAATATCTCAACTATTGGATGGATTGACAGATCTTGTACAGATGTTCACAGTTCCCAGTGTTCTCATTGCATCCAAATTAATTTTAAGGTCCCCTGACTTCCCCTCTAGAGCCACCTTGAAGTTTTCCTGTTCTTTGGTGAAATGTCTTGACAACTATTGGATGGATTGCCATAGAATTCAGTTCAGACGTTCATGTTCCCCCCAGCTTGGTTTTCTCTGACTTTTCATTTAACAGCATCATCAGGTCTAATTTGTCCAATACTCTGGTTTATGACTAAAAACCTCAAAAACGAATTACACTTCCATCAGCCTGCTAACAAGCTAAATTAAGATTGTGGTAAAGATTATACTTCCTAAACATCATGTTAGCATCGTCACTGTGAGCTGTAGACTTCGGCTGTGTCCCAAATAACTAATGAAATAAATAAATAACTTTCCAGCATTTTATGGGTGGGAAATTGTGTGACTGTACATCTGTCAGTGACGACACAACATGACAGTAATTCATAAGCGTCCAAAGCCACTCACTATAATAAAGCACTGAGTGTCTGTACTGTATAGGGAGTAGTGAAGGAGTGAGAGAGGGAGTGATTTAGGACGCAGCAATAGTCTTCTTTTGGTGTTCCTTTTATTGCTGTTGCACTTTCTTGTATTTAGTTCTACTACAGTTTCTACTTCTACCAAAATTCTTGTAATAAAATACTGTACTATTCAAGGAAAACTGTCAGTTCTGGGACAAAGAATGGGATAATAATAGGAAATGTTGTCTTAATGTAATGTGGATAACTGCTGTGAAATAGACTACAATCCTCCGAGGCTGCTGTGCAGCTGCTGTATGCAGATGTGTCTTGTTGTGATTGGATGACAACATTCGTACAGCACTTTGGGGTGCAGCCTATGTCTCTGTTCTTGTTTTTTTATTTATTTCACAGACATTAAGTCACACTATAGCACTGAGTTGGTTGTGTTATGAATTCTCCATTAAACGACCACAGAGAGTCTTAAAGCTGAAATGATGCAGCTAAAACATACATTCAAGAGTTGGTTTGGGCTCAGATCCATATATTTGTATAAATATCCAACTCAGTGCTGATGAAGGTTTACACTATAGTGTAACATTAAATGTGGAATTAATTAGTTGCTATCGCAGCATCTGTGAGTGTGTTTGCCTCCAGAGGCCTGGAAGCTGGACCACAGCTTCTCATTAAAGTGTAATTAGCTCCAACACAATCCCAGGATTTGTACATTCATTTACACAGTTATCTATGAATTAATTAAAAGTTTTCTTAATCCGTGCTTATGATCCTGTAGTCTAATGCGTTGACTGGAGACTGCAATATTATTACTGGGCTCTGTATGTTGTTCAGATATTCTGACATATTATCAGCTAGCCACCTAATTAACTTCTAAAATAAAACACATGATCAAATATTTAAAAAAATGACCCAAATGAAAAACTAACCTTTATGGTATCAGCCTGCAGATGAAAGAAACTGACTTTTGACCTCACAGAGAATCCTCTTTCAGGGCAGCAAATAGATGGGAGCAACCCGGTTGCGTCGAAGCGGCAGACTGTGGGTTAAAAGAGATTAATGATGTTGTTATTACACTCTGTTACATCAGTGACAGCTGTGGGTCGACATGTTCTTCTGTGCCTGAGTGCCGTCATCAAATATTTACCTCTGATATCGGCCTGACAAACATGTCAATCATTTAACTTTCCTGCAATGTTTTGTTCATTCATTGTTTTGCCAAAAAGGGTAGTTATTGGTCATGCTGGGACCCTTTAGAGCAGTATTAATTGATTTGTCGGCAAAGAGAGAGCAACGTTAACGTTAATGTCAAGTTTGGCCACCTGACAATAGACCTTTTTCACAGCAGCCATTTTTACATGAAACTGTAGGGTAAACTCATGGTGTTACCAGTGATACGAATTCAGGTCAAACAGAGTCAGCGGGCTGCTATAGTGCATGTTGGCACACTGGGAAGCAGAGGTGGGAAGTAAAAAAGTACAAATACTTTGTTGCTGGACTTTTTCAGTTATATAGTTGAGTATTTATTTACTATATTTGAACTTTTTTCCTTTTACTCCTTACAATCCTTACAGACATCTGTACGTTCTACTGCTTTCATTTTCAAAACAAGCTCATTACATTAGTTTTAATGCATTTGTAATGATCAGTTATTATTGTTTTTTGCATCATTGCACTCCTTCCCAACATCAAGACTGTTACAGACAAAACAGACAAGAGAGGGAGACTCGGCCCTATTATTTGAAGATTCAGTCAGTTTTGCACAGAAACAGCGGGTAGAAATGTCCTTCAGGAAAACAGAGAGCACTTTACATCTACTCGACTAAAGAATGTGTGTTCTGTTGCCACCTAAGCTGGAAGGGCTCTGCTACATTGAATGGACCTTAAATAGCATCACTGGTAACACCTGTGTTCGTCCTGAGGGAAATATTTGGCTGTTTAGCTGCTAAATGCTCTGCTGTGTTCACCAGCTGCTACCGAAGAGGGAAGTTGTGTGATAGTTCTCTGTGGATTTGTCATTACAAAGGCCCAGTGGCGTAAGGCAGTTACAACAGGCCCCTGTGCACAAGAGGATCAGCACAGACTCACACCATTAGGTGTTGGTATACATTGTATGTGTTTTATTACTGTATATCGTATCGCCTCGCCATATGATCAAATAAAGACGTGACATTGGACAACAGCAACATACATATTACCCAGCAATCATCAGTGCATATCTGCCACAAATACCCAAAAGAAAAAAGGAATTATCAGTTTAATTGAATAGTTTTAATAGTTTATGTAGAATAATAAGTATTTCATAAATAAAACTACAATCTACATTTACGGCCCTTTTCAAATGACACATAGTCATTTGACCCATTGTTAATATCAGATATATTGATGAGTGCAGCTTTAAACATGGCCGCATTATGTTCAGATTGATCATCACTAATGTATCATTCTGTGTTTCCCAGCTGTGGTAACTTTCCCATGATGATGTAAACAAGAAAACTCCCACTGTATTATCAAAAAAGTCTATGTTCTTTATATATATAAAAAGATGCATTTCAGAGGATTGAGACAAATAAAACAACAGAATAAAGCCATATTGGATTATTCTGTTTTTATTCTATTTATTTCCCCCCACATTTTATTCCCTTCTGCTTTACTGAGAGATGCTCCCTCAATTTCCCTGTTGGCCAATGAGCTGCACGGACAGACTGCGGTAATGAATCCACTACACCCCTCACGTTCCCGGCATGCATTGTGGAAAGAGAGAGAGATAGGGAGAGAGAGAGAGAGAGAGAGAGAGAGAGAGAGAGGGGTGGGGGGCTTGGCTGGGAGGCTGAGGGAGGACCGTGGACCTGAGCGCAGAAGAAGAAGCAGCAGCAGCAGCATCATCACAAGAAGAAGAAGAAGAAGAAGAAGAAGAAGAAGAGTCATCATCCGACACTTGCTCATCACTGACAACCGCTCAGGTAAATGATGTGCGCATTTACTGCCAGCGTCAATCCCACGGTCTGTTTCTAGTATTCGCCTCCGTGTGTGTGTGTGTGTGTGTGTGTGTGTGTGTTTGTGTGTGTGTGTGTTTCCTGCTGCGGGCTTTGCTTGTTGGAGAAATCAGCTGCTTCACACAATGAAAGCTCATCTTTTCCTGGTTTTTTTTTTTTTTTTTGGGGGGGGTTAAATTATTCTTATTGTTATTATTGTTATTATTCCTCGGATAGGACGGGGTTCGACCTGTGTGCGCAGTGTTTTGCTGTGTCAGACTGTGACAGCTTGCTGATATGTACTACAGTGTGTTGGAGCAGGGATTCCCTCAGCCATGTCTCTGCAGCCTCCAGTCACTCCTCCGCTGAGCGATTCATTAAAGGTGGGGGATTTGGGGGGTCCATTTCATGATTGGGGACCAGCGGGGTGGGGTGGGGATTATAAAGTCAGTTTACTCGCATTTGGAGGCAGATGTCAATCTTTATCACAGGAACTGGCTGTGTAAATCCTACAGATGTGAAACTGATGCAGAAAGCGCTTTATAGTCCTAATTAAGATATTATTTCTTTCTCAACATTGCTTTGATGGCTTTGCTTGAAGATATTGGCCAGTTTATTTTAATTATCACCCATATTGAATATTTTAAGTAATAACCCTATTCATATATATTTTTAAAAACAAACCTATGTATGTAAATATATCCTATGATGTCAATAATCTCTACTATTGTTTAAACAGTTTTCTTGGAAGCTATTTGTAGTGCAGTGGTGGAAAACATGATTTTCTAAGAATCCATAGTTAAGTTAAATTTTGTATAAAGAATAAAAGTCCTATTGGTTATTCTTGTAAAAATGAATAAAAGTCTTCTCAGATATTTAAGGTAAAAAAAATCAGACTTCCAATAAGATAGAAAAACCCTCCAAAAACCAAACATTTCTTTCTTACAAAGGGGGAAAAGGAGGACGTCTTTCATTGGATTTTTAGAACTTTCTAAGAATTCCTAAAGCATTCTATTGGAAATAGATGAAAATCCTACAGGACTTTTGGACTAGGGTTGGTGTGGAACAAACAAGCTGTGGACATACAGTCACCTTTTAAGTGGATATTGTTAGCCAACAGCTGTCACACCTGTTAGATATAGAGCAACATTAGCATTCGTTAGCAGTTTGTGTTTCTGGCCACCTGGCAAATGGAAGTCCAAATGACACTGTCCTTATTTCCTTTTTCGCTCCGTTTGGCTCTCCACCAGTTCCTGAGAAAGATATCCGACTCTTTAGCTGTTAAATGCTCCATTATGTTCGCTAGCTAGTCGCTAACCCTGTCCGTCTGCTGTTTGGCACTGAGCTGGTTAGCGTACAGTGAGGGTTTTTTTTACCTACGGCTGCTGAAAACAATGCTGGGAGTGGTGACAGAGAAGCAAAACGTTAAAGTTGCGGGGCGGAAAAACCAAAACAATTAGCTTAAAGATGCTAAAATTCTCCGTAGAGCTCAGAGGAGCTGCAGAGTCAGGTGACTGCGGCTCATTCGTCTATCAAATACAGTCGTGTGAGCCATTGTTAACATAAAAATATTGATTATATCCAATGATATTATATTAGGATATTTTTTAAGTTATATATGCCAGTAAAAGGCCCTAACTGTGAGTGAAGCGGTCCTACACGAATGCAGATACAGTTTTCGTTATTCACAGAAACCACAGTTTTTCCAGCTCTTTCTCGTTCCCAGGTCGTCAAAGACCGACGTTTCATCAAGCCCTTCAGCCTCACATACAGACGCAAAACGCCTACCTTTTAGCGTTTCTATGAGATGCACCGGGCAGCCATGAGAGCCTTCAGGAAGTCAGGTGACTTAGCATAAATAGCGACTAAGTCTGCATAAGGGGTTAGTCTGGGTGGAAGGATGGCTCAAACAAACAGGATTTTCACCCAGGAGACCGCCACACAACAGCATAACTAACGTAACTAACTTATTTCAACTCGTGATCGTGAACCGTGATCTATTCCTGAACCTAACAAAGTTGTTTTGTTGCCCAAACTGCGGCAGTTTCACAACATTAACCAGAAAGGGTACCTCGTGCATCTGCAGGAGTGTGACAAAGCACATCGGTTTTAGGGTTTAGGGACCGGCCACCGTCAGCCCAACTACCGGCGATTGCTGATAAAGTCGCCACAGGGGTGAATTTATGTGAAGAAAGGACATATTCTTGCAATGGATATATTTAATGTTGTAGAGGAAATCTTAACATGTGAAAGCATGTGCTTTAAGTGTTGTACACATACATAAAGATTCACTGTAATTTAATTTTATGCTCAATAATGACTCCATATACCGTCAATGCAGTGTTAAAGCTCAGCTCTGAATATTGATGATAATGACGCCATACCGCCAAATAGACACCATGAAATATTTATCAGGCAATCAGGAGGCAGACACAAGTGTTCCCTCCATAACCAGTTATCTATTTTGTCTCCCAACAGATGCTCCTCAGCATGAAAGGCGGCCTGCAGCCACTAATGATCCCTTTTTCCCCCCGTCCGAAATGATAAATTGCAAAATTACTGTGACCTTTCCGTCCTTAATCAGCTGGTTCGGTGCTTCTTGGTGTGACTCCGTGGAAGAATCCAGTTTGTTGACAGGAGGAGACTTTGATTTAGAAACGAGTTGTAGTAATGTGTGGGCTGGTTTGTTCTCAATGGAACTTTGAATCAATATGCTGCCGATGCTGTTTATATCAAAATGATTCATCAACAGCCTGTTAGTCATAAGTTAGATACGAATAGAATGGATGATTGTATTAAGCGAGGCTATAGCTTTGTTTTAAAGTGCTGAATGGCAACATTTTCTTGTTAAGCGTCTTTCTAATTCTTATTTTTGTTAAAAAGGATCAAGTGTCTGCTTGAATTAGCTTGAGATCATGAAATGAAATGTCATTTGGCTCCTCTACTGATGTTCAGCTCAACCAATGAATAACATCCGTGTCTTCCCGAGCTGAAATAAGTTGCCGCTTTTAACCTGAAGCTTTCCTGAGACAGTTTTGAGTGAACATGTCTAATCTCCAGCATGTACAGGGGGAAAGAAAAGGTCTGGTTCTCCCTCTTGCCTTTGTAGCCTCAGTGTCTGCGTGTGGATGTCTAATGTGGCGTCTGCAGTGAGAGGTGCGGTGAGGTCACTGCGTGGCGACTCGGCTGTGACTCCTCGCCTCACCAGCTCGTCTCTGCTGCTGCTGCAGACACTCTCGCAGTGAGCTGAGACCGTGGCGTCGCTGAGCACATTCTGTCACTGCAGTCGCCGAGGTTCACAGTCCAAGGATGACTTACTCATTGCTGCCGGGCGGTTGGGCAAGTGCAGGAAGCAGTGAGATTCTCATGTTGTGTTTTTGAAATGTATAAGTCGATCTGGTGTGGTAAAGTATTGTCAACGTCCCCGCAACCTTATTATGTTTGGTTACACTTTTCCCGTTTGAAATGGCCTGTGAAGTTGGTACAAAATAGAGAGGCAGTGCACTGGAAGCATTTCGCAGCACGTCTGCATTTTTCAAGCACTGAAATCAACAGCCTAAGCCTAATGGTGTCCTCACAAGCTGGCATTTTACAAGTTTTGCAATGGCTGATTAAAATAAGCAGCAGGCTTCCTCACAGCCTCCCACAACAACTCAACACCATCTTTTCTGTCGACGTCTCGGCACGGCAGAGACGACAACATGCAGACGGTTGAAGATTTTAGCTTTAAATTCAAACCAGTAACTGCCATTAAAGACTTATAAGATATGAGTATAGTCCAGGTTTATTGCCAAGTAGGTTTTCACATACAAGGAATTTGCCTTGGTGAGTTGGTGCATAATAATTAAGCATAGAAAAATATAGATAAAGGTAAAAAAAAAAAAGAGAGACAATAAAAGGAGCCAATATATACAAATATAAAATAGAGAGAGAATATGTACAATATGGCCAGATACTTAAATGAATGAGTGAAGAGCTGTACACAAATGTGCAAATGTGCATTGACCAGGGAATTTGCAAGTTAGCAGCGTGACAGAAAATTATGTTTGCAATGTGCAAAGCTAAAATCAGAGGAAAGTGCATTAATGTAACGCATAGATCCAGGGTGGGCGGTGGGTTTAAGACTCAGTGTCAGTGGAGGTCCCGGGCCTTGCTGATGAGGCCAGCTGCAGATGGGGGAAAAAAAACTGTTTTTGTGGCGAGAGGTTTTGGTCCTGATAGACTGCAGCCTCCTGCCAGAGGGAAGTGTCTGAAAGAGTTTGTGTCCGGGGTGTTAGGGTTCAGCCACAATCTTACAAATAAGATTTTTTATTTGTGGGGAAACTGTCTGGAGAAGATGCAGCAAAAGCAGTATGCGTCTATATATCTCTGACCAGCTCTGGTGTGTTAGATAGCATTAAAGAGTTACCCAACTTTGAATAATTGATATAGCCTGTGATTCAGTGATTCGTTTTAACATATTATGATATTCTAAATTGTATTGTAATTGTAAATGATCCAGTTTTTTGACTATTGGCACAAAATGAACTGTAGTTCTTTGTAAAGTTAGTAATCTAGAATTAAAGTGTATTCCACTGCTACATACACTGTAGATAAATATGAAAAAGAATTGATTATCAACACTAAAACAGCTATATATCTAGAGAAATCCCAGAAATGGCTTCCAAAATGCCGGTCCTAGCTTATGTTATCCTAACAGAGGTAACTGAAAAAAAAAACCTAGTGTACTAATGTGACCCAAACCTGTTGCGTCACTCTCACACACTCACAATCTATCCCAGTAAACAGCATGCATTGAATCTAACAAAGTCAAAATGTTTAACAGAATGCCAGCTTACTCTGTACACGTGTATTACAGGTTTGATATAGATCAGTAAATCCTTAATTCATTAAAGACCGGAGCCTTAATGTTGAGATTATTGATTTATGATGACGGTTTGTTTGAGCAAAGCTCTTCAGAAGCTTTTTTGTGGCATATTTACCCTGTT